CCCCATTCTTGTCCTTCTCTCGACTCTTTTCTTTCCCTTCTGCTTGCCTCTGCTTCTCCTTTTCTTCCCTTCTCTTTTCCTTTCTTTCTTTCTTCATCTCCTTTCGTAATTTGTAGCTGAGACTTGACTTCTTCTCTTGGAAAACAATGCCATCATCAGCTGAAAAAAAAAGTTTACAGATCACATCAGTCATCTTGAAATGCAACAAATGGTACACAAATAATAAAACTAATAGGAAAATATATATAAATATGTATTTCGGAGTAGCAAAAAATGAATACCGAGAGCATGAAGAGCAAAACAATACGATTATATAGATATAAGTAAAACTGAGCGATCACCTCTGGTAACGGAAATATCGAAGGTAGAATATACGATCTTGTTTGTTTTTTTCCAAGTCCACAAACATCAACAACAACAGCACGTGCATTCATGTGTGCGTGTGTAAACAGTAGTATGCCATCTATATATATTTATCAATGATACAATATTCCTATATAATATTCCTATAACCTTTGTACGCTAAAATACATATTTTATCCATTTTATCCATATAATTTTTAGTTTCCTATTGCAATGCTAAACATATTATGTATCTACATGGCGTGATTTTTTTTCCGGACACGTCGTATTTGCCAGGGGGCGTGGCCGTATGGCCTGGCGGTCTATTTGACAATTCTGTGAAACATGGCCTCAGTGACGGACGAACAAAGCTGTGCTAAAAAATCTTGCGTAGATTGTGACACTGGCCTTCTCAATTACTCATACAAAGTAAAAGGAAATCCAGATTTCGGTTTTGAATCTCTGGTCCATCACGGTGTACTGAACAATACACTGCAGTGCAAAAAGTGTAGTGAACCGTGCCGGCTTTACCGGGATTTAAAGATTTTTAAGTGCCAGAAACTTGTCAGTATGAACAAAAAGAAACCGAAAAGGTGTAACTTCCAACAATCGATTTACAAAAACACATGGCTACACAATAGCCATTTAGACATAGAATCTAATTTGGTATTTGTTAATATATATTTACAAGACAAGACGAAATCATAGGTATAAGCGATAAAACTATCTGTGACTGGTTCTCCTTTTGCAGAGATGTATTACTTTTTTGGTGTAAAAGTAGTGGAAAGGAAAAAATTGGTGGACCCGGCAAAACAGTCGAAATAGACAAGTCAAAATTTGGCAAAAGGAAACATAACAAAGGAAGGATTATTGATGGTCAGTGGGTGTTTGGCGGCCTGTGTCGGGAAACGAAAGAGTATTTTGCGGTGCAAGTAGAGAAACGGGACTCGCAAACACTACTGCAAATCATTAAAGAAAAAATCCATCGGGGGCAGAGCCCCCGATAGGGAAATACCCCAGTGAAGGGGGTCCGGGGGCGGAGCCCCCAATAGGGGGTTAGGTTAGGTTGCTTGGTTACAACGTTTTGTGTAAAAACGTGGCTTCACAGTTTGATAATGAAGTACATTTCCGTAGAGTTTAACAAACGAGGGCAGGTCTTCCCGTAGAGTTTTTTTGAACGGTGGCGTTGTGGACCGTAGAGTTTTTTGAAACGTGGCGTATCGGGCCGTAGACTTTCAATGTTGGCGGGCGTTTCCGTAGAGTTTCTCGAGGTGATTTTAACGACTTTTTGGTGCTATTTCATGCATTATTGCATTATAATTATTATATTTAAGCCTGTTTTACCCCATAATTTTGCCTGATATATTTCATGCCCTCCCCTACTATCAGGACTTAACAAATCAAGCTTGTTGGCTGAATATGGATTTCCGACAACCAAATGTGGTATACAACTATAGTATACCTATATTCATCACCGATTATCGTCAAATAAACACGATAACGCGAAATACATTTTTGGAAAGAATTACCAAATAATATATACACTCATCAATTTCTGCACTAGATAATTTCTTGATCATTCATCTTCCTCACTTCCCCTCTCTTCATCTCTAACTTATGAGTTTACTTTAATAATTGTGTTTACACAGATGGCTCCACAGGTGCTTAGTGACCAAAGAGTTAATTACTTGTTCTGTTTATCTCACCTGATTACCCTTATCTTTTATTTTCACTTTGTTCCTTTTTCTATTTTTTTTTAATAAATGGTTATATGTGGGGGTTTCTTTATATTCCACTGCAGGGGATGGGGCACAGCAGCACCCCAGGCATTAAATAACACAGAGACTTATTATAGTGCTGTAATTTGTGTATATTATCATTATTTTACTCAACAAGGTTTCTCTCGTACCTTTCATGCCTTTCCCTGCTATCATGGTTAAGGATGTGGGGGTTTGGCGTGGGTAGTAAAGAATCAGAGGAATCTATCAATAACACTATTATTGCAATCGGTCCTGCAAAATTCTAGACAATTACCATTATATCTCTTTAAGCTAGATAACATTTTCCTTCTTGTTAGGTTATGTAGTTTTTTTTTTTTACTTTTAGAAAAATATTGCAAAGTTGAATAGGGAAAAGGGGGGGGGATAAACTTGGAAATGATGTCTAACACTGATTTCCAGGTGAAAACTATGTTTTTCTGAAAGCTCCTGTCATGTTTTGAACAAATCTAGCATCCATTTCCTTTGCAAATAAAGCACAGCTGATAAATCATTTGGGGAGGACCCACACTGGAAACTTTGTGGCACAAGAACAATCTATTACACACAAAGAACTTGTTTACTGCTCAGCAGGGATCACCACTAAACAACTAAAATATTTGTGAATTAAACCAAACCATATTAGGTTGTGCCATCAATGACAACTCATTTTCATAACACAGAAAAGATGTATAAATAATGAATCCTCCATCACAGACAATGATGGTAAAGAGGGGGTTTTGACCCCTATCCCCTTTACAGGAAGGGCTGCACCCCCCCTACCATCCACATGATCTACAAAACCTTCCCTTTGTAAGTTCTGGCAGGATTGATCTTGGGCAAATATCTAGACTTTGCAGCAATAATTTCTTACCTTGACCAATAAATATGCAATGGCCAGGCTGCAGGTCATCAAAATCACTGACATTGCTGTTGGCGGGAAATACAACTACTTCCATCATTCTTTCTCATTATTGCCATAATATTTTGTCACATGACTATTTATAACAAATCTTATTTGCTCTAATAGACTGATCACTAGTATCTATTGTTGTGTTGTGGCCAAGTACGATTCTTGTTGGCTTATTCCTTTTCTCTTACTTATGTCATTATTATAATTCTGTCTGACAGTTTTGTTATTTCTACTCTTTAGCATAAATTTTCCCTCAAAGTGTGCCTGGAAGTTTTGATGTACATCTTTTTTACTACTCTTGTGATTAGCTTGACAAGGAAATGCTGTAAAAGATTGCTGTGGCTATGTTTGTGTAATGCGAAGTCTGTTGACTATTTTTCCGGGACCTCAGGTTGAGTGTGTGCAGTGTGGAATTCTCAAATTTTGCTGTAATCACATTTCCAAATCTGTCATAATGTCTAATACAATGTCTAATACCCTCTCAGCAAGCTACCACCCCCAACCCCTGCCCACGTATTCACGGCAGGAGAGTGTCAGGCAGACTCAGCATCAAACGCTCACGCATGTCAGTCGTGCACTTTACCTTGCCACGGACACAGCGAGAACTTTACATTCTCTACCAGACCTCCCGGAAAAGTAATCAATAGACACTACATTACAGTACCGTTTCAATAGATACTTCAATAGGAGAAAAGTGCCTTCGTATGTTACACCCTCACGGACAGCAAGGTCATTTTCATATGGTAAGTGGCTGCCAGTTGAAATCAGATCTTAACCCAATGCTGCCGGGGAAAATGAACAAAAAATGGGGAAAATGCTGTGCCCACTTTCTCTGTTTTTCGTGAAATGTCTGCCAATAGATGGCTCTGCTAACGCCTGATTTGAAATGGCGGGAAAAGCGTATTTTTCACTAGTGCTATGAAAATCTATGGTGTTATTTTTATCATAAACATTATAATTTTTATAATGTTTTTTAACATTAGTAACAGCAAAAAAGATAACGTAAAATATTTCGTAAATCAAAGAAAAGGGTAAACGGGTGAGACGGGCGGTAGTCGGAACTGGCTCATTGGGGAGTTAGTACAAGTGTTGCCATCTATGCGTAAAAACAATCAAACAAGTACTCACGGTGGGCATAGCACGTACGTACACGTCAAACCCGGCGACATTGGGTTAAATGATTGTGGTTTCCATTACCATTGTTCCTTCCAGTTTGTAACCATTATCCATGGAGATATAATATCTTAATATGAATGCATTTCTTCAATATTCGGCATAAAAAATTGAGGTTGGTGCATCCTAACCTTCCACCAAAAATAACCCTAAAGCCCTTTAAAAAAAAAAGGGGGGGGAGAAAAAAAAAACTCACCCTCAAGTTCATCCTCGAAGCTGAGGACCGATTGTTTCTTTGGCTCCAGCTTCTCCTTGCTCTTCTTTTTCTCCTTCTTCACCGGAGCTGCCGAGTTCGAGTTGCTGTCTTCATTACTATTGTTACCTCCTGGATCACTCTCACCTCCTGCATCGTCATCGCTGAGTCTCCTTTGACGGATATTAAGGTTTTTACGTTTCTTGAACATTTTTTGCTTTTTTCCGATGCCATACACAAGGATAAGATGTCGTGCGCGGCGAAACAAACCGTGGATGTGCCTATTTTCTTCACTTGAACTTAAGATACTACAGTGAATATTTTTCTTCTGTAATTCATCTTTTAAATATTTCTCTTTGGTGCTTAAATGTTTAAATATTCACGATAAAAGGGTTTCAATGATATTTGTTAATATTTTATATATTTCGGCTTGGAGAATGACTGTAGGCAATATATCTTTTTTATTTATTTATCAAATTGCACATGAATATTTCCATACATCTAAACGAATGAAAGAAGATCTAATATTACGGAAAAAATATTATTAATTGATTATGTTATTTAAATAATGCAAATAAAGTTTAGTAAAAATGATATCCCTAAAATCGTGGTAGAACACCTGAGAAACGTAAACAAAGTGGGAATTTTGACATGTCTAAGCGTTGATTACATTAATTCTAGTGTTTTCTAAGAAAGTCTGCACTTTTCAGTTCATTTAAGAAGAAGCAGGGGCATTGGTTATTCTTATTCTGTTATGATAAGTGGCCAATATGAGCGACAGCGATGACGATTACGCTTTCTTTGGAAGTCCTGTGCGGGAGCTTGATGAAGGTAAACATCGTTTCTGAAGAAAAGTGGAAATTTCTGAAATGTTTCTTATTGCAGGAAATTAAATGTGCACTTTTCTCTATTTAAATTAATACGCACATACTCATTAGCATAGAAGGGTATGTTATGATCCAAGTCATATTTGGTAAATTTGGAAAATTCGACCACAGCTTTGGTTATAATCATTGAATATTTTTTAGAAAATTAAGACCTTATTTCAAATTTTAAATGACATTTCTGGCAGAGACAGGTAATGAATGAGGACTCTATGATTCATGGCATCAAGCAATTGTCAGCAACCATTCTCTGATTCGTATTTTGACGATAAATCACTTTGGAAGTCTTCATTTGCTACATGAATAGCAGTTAGAAAATATCTAATTTGCAATCTCTCTCTCCTCTCTCTCACTTACTCACTCAATCACTCACTTTGCCCTCACTCCCTTGCCTTCTCCCTCTCTCACCCTCACCTTCTCCCTCTCTTTCCCTCCCACTCTTTCTCTCTCCTTTCTCCTCTCTCCCTCCCCCCTCTCTACCCCCCCCCCCTCTCTCTCTCTCTCTCTCTCTCTCTCTCTCTCTCTCTCTCTCTCTCTCTCTCTCTCTCTCTCTCTCTCTCTCTCTCTCTCTCTCTCTCTCTCTCTCTCTCTCTCCCTCCCTCCCTCTCTCCCTCCCTCCCTCCCTCCCTCCCTCCCTCTCTCCCTCCCTCTCTCTCTCCCTCCCTCCCTCTCTTCCTCCCTCCCTCCCTCCCTCCCCCCACCCTCCATCTCTCTCTCTCTCTCTCTCTCTCTCTCTCTCTCTCTCTCTCTCTCTCTCTCTCTCTCTGTCTCCCTCTCCCTCTCTCCCTCCCTCCCTCCCTCCCTCCCTTCCTCTCTCTCTCCCTTCCTCCTCGCTCCCTCCCTCCCTCCATCTCTCTCTCTCTCTCTCTCTCTCTCTCTCTCTCTCTCTCTCTCTGTCTCCCTCTCCCTCTCTCCCTCCCTCCCTCCCTCCCTTCCTCTCTCTCTCCCTTCCTCCCTCGCTCCCTCCCTCCCTCCATCTCTCTCTCTCTCTCTCTCTACTATGTATGATCTTCAATTACATGAGGCAAAAATCTCTTTGTTCAGCTAAAGTTACCATAGATGAACCTTCTAGTTATATTGAGAGTTAATATCATCGGCAAGAAGAGGATATTTATCTATATGCATGACATAGACACCCACTCTAAAATGTCACCCATCTATGAAGAACACTTTTTAAAATGTCTTTTATGACTGATATTGCTCATATCCCCTTACCCCAAGAAGAAATTGAAGCACAATAATTTGATTATCATAACTGGATTCTTTTCAGATGAATTACGAAAGCAGAAAGTCCCAAGAATTGAGGACCAGTTTGCCAAGGACAAACAGGGTCGACGGAGGTCAGTTTTTAAGACTTTTTTGTTAGTTACTTATTATTGTTATTTTTCTATGTGTTGTTATTTATTTTCCTTGTTATTATTGTTATCGGAGAAAACTCAGATTATCAGTATCACTATTATAGTTATTATTATTTATTATATAGAATTACAGAGAATCAATTCCTGCAAAATATGGTTAGACACATTTTTGGCATTTAACTATTGATTTTTGTATCAAATATGTAAAACAGCTTCTTAAGCTTTAACAGTTTCAATTCACCTTATGCAAATTGCCCAGTAAGACAGATTTTCACTTGAATATAAAATAATCCAAATTTACTCTTGCCACAACAGGTTTCATGGTGCCTTCAGTGGAGGATTCTCAGCTGGTTACTTTAACAGTGTTGGATCAAAGGAAGGTTGGACTCCCTCCACATTCGTATCATCCAGAGGCCAGAGGGCTGATTCCAAAGCAGCAAGGCCTCAAGATTTTATGGATGATGAGGTATATTGTTTTATATTTGTATGGCAATATTTTGTAGAAATGTTTGTTTTTAATATTAATTCTGTGGAAATGTCTTCTATACTCACTGTATTTATTACATACATTGGATTACTTAATCCCTTGGTGCCGGGTGACGCTGATCGGCGTGCAAACAAACAGCTTAAAAGCTGGCTTGCAGCCAAACGCCGCAGCGGTGTGCCAAAGCACAGCGAGCCAGTGATTCGGGCTGATGTCCCCTACTCACACGCTCAAAGTCGGCGTGCCGCCTTTGTTTGCTAGAGTGTAGATTTTTTTTTTTTTTTTTTTTGTACACCCGGCATCATTGGTTTAATGCAGATATTGAGATCTAAGAATAGAGTGTATCTTGATCACTACTCTTCAGATGCATTTTTAATCACTGAATACAGAATTTTT